TTTTTCTCCACCTCCTCTCTGCACTCCTGCATTTTCTTTTCAGTCTTTTGATATTATCATTTCTCCACGGGGGAGTAGGTTTTGTTTTTATTGTTTTGGTTGAAAGTGGAGCCACTGAGTCAAGTGTTGACTTTAATTTACTGTTAAAATTGTCCACAATAAAATCACAGGGTGCAGGTAAAATTTCTGCAGGAGTGCTCTGTAAAATCTGGATAAAATTTGCAGCCACTTCAGAAGTTAGGTAGCGTTTCCTCACTGTTCTCACCGGGGCCTCCTGATGGCTAAAACTGGTGATGTTAAAATACACACAGTAGTGGTCGGACACAGCCAGGTCAACAACAGAGGACACATCAGTGGACAGGCCATAGGTTATGACCAGGTCCAGGGTGTGTCCTCTGTTGTGAGATGGCTGTGTGATGTGCTGTTTAAAATCCATGCAGGTTAAAAGGTTTAAAAATTCTCTGGACATTGTATCAGAGGTATTACCAACATGTAAATTAAAATCACCAGTTATTAAAATTGTGTTATAGGTAGTGTGTATTATGGTTAATAGTTCGGAAAAATCAGTGATAAAAGAGGTGGAATGGTGGGGTGGTCTGTAAACTGTGATGCAAAGAATAGGAGGACTGCTAAAAACTAAGGCATGATTTTCAAATGATGAGTAGCTGTTAAAAGAAACTTCAGTAGAGTGCAGTGAGTTTTTAGTGACTGAAGCAGTTCCGCCTCCTCTTTTACCTCCCCTAGTAGAAAATCCATGTGCCTAACATAATCGAAGCAGCATGTACACACTGCACGGTACAAAATACAATATAAAACAAACACAATAACTACCTTATAAAGTGAGCAGGTTACTGCTGCTGATGCCTTACTTAAGCAAAAAGACAGTAAGCACACATTGCATGATCGAAATGCAATATGAAGAACAATTACTATATTTTTCAGTGACCAAGATAATTTCTCTGCCTCACACGATAAACATGGCAGGCACAGGCTGCACAGTCCAATTTACAGTAAGAAATACACAATAAATACATTACACATGGCAAAGTTAGCAGCACATGTACCCATGAGGGAAACATGTAACATCTATGTACCTGCTGCGGTAACCTCTAACATCTATCTGAGATCAGTACTGACAAGACTGAGTGCTTAAATCCTGACTGATGTTTCACTAGAGCTTCATTTGTCAGGACACTCAGGTTGAAACCAGGTCATCAGGTCACTGTACTCTAACCTTTGTCTGCCACGTGCTGTTGTCACATGCATTTTCTTGTTGTCCTGCTGCTACTGTTTGTCTTTGTCTTACTGCCTTTGGATGCTACTCTTGCTCTGTGTTGTTGTGCCTGATGCTTGTGTGCTAGACTGGAGGTTATTTCTGTAATGCTTGTTGTCACACAGCTGTAAGACCTAATATATATTTAGATTGCATCTCCCCGATTTCTCTTCAAGAATTGACCGCAGTGATTTCTTCATCTAAATCATCAACGTGTCTCTTACTGTGCGTTCACACCAAACACGATGGACGCGATGTCATCGACCGTAACGCAAGTATCGCGTCGCTTGATCACAAATGTCACCTTATTGATCATCGCTTCATCGCGTTGCTCTTATCGCCTGAAATGTGTTGCCCGAAGCGACATCGCGTGTCATCGCGTCATTTACATTGATTTTGAATGGAAACTTGTGGCGTTCATCGCGTCCATCGTGTTTGGTGTGTACGCACAGTTAGACCCCATCCCAACTAGGCTACTTAAGGAGGTCTTACCTTCAGTTGACACTCATATATTAGATATGATCAAAAAAGCCCACCCTGGATCCAGAGGTGTTATCCAACTATAGACCAATATCTAATCTTCCCTTTATGTCAAAGATCCTTGTTATTGCATGAATGATGGTGTTATTGATGAACATATGAATGATGGTTTATTGATGAACGTATGAATGATGGTGTTGTTGATGGACCTATGAATGATGGTGTCACTGATGAACATATGAATGATGGTGTTATTGATGAACGTATGAATGATGTTGTTATTGATGAACATATGAATGATGGTATATTGATGAATGTATGAATGATGGTGTTATTGATAGTGTTATTGATGAACATATGAATGATGGTGTTATTGATGAACATATGAATGATGGTGTTATTTATGAACATATGAATGATGGTTTATTGATGAACGTATGAATGATGGTGTTATTGATGAACCTATGAATGATGTTGTTATTGATGAACATATGAATGATGGTATATTGATGAATGTATGAATGATGGTGTTATTGATAGTGTTATTGATGAACATATGAATGATGGTGTTATTGATGAACATATGAATGATGGTGTTATTTATGAACATATGAATGATGGTTTATTGATAGACGTATGAATGATGGTGTTATTGATGAACATATGAATAATGGTGTGATTGATGAACATATGAATGATGGTGTTATTGATAGTGTTATTAATGAACATATGAATGATCGTGTTATTGATGAACATATGAATGATGGTGTTATTGATAGTGTTATTAATGAACATATGCATGATGGTGTTATTGATAGTGTTATTAATGAACATATGAATGATCGTGTTATTGATGTACATATGCATGATGGTGTTATTGATAGTGTTATTGATGAACATATGAATGATCGTGTTATTGATGAACATATGCATGATGGTGTTATTGATAGTGTTATTAATGAACATATGAATGATCGTGTTATTGATGAACATATGAATGATGGTGTTATTGATAGTGTTATTAATGAACATATGAATGATGGTGTTATTGATGAACATATGAATGATCGTGTTATTGATGAACATATGCATGATGGTGTTATTGATAGTGTTATTAATGAACATATGAATGATGGTGTTATTGATGAACATATGAATGATGGTGTTATTGATGGACATATGAATGATGGTGTTATTGATGAACATATGAATGATGGTGTTATTGATGGACGTATGAATGATGGTGTTATTGATGAACATATGAATGATGGTGTTATTGATGGACATATGAATGATGGTGTTATTGATGAACATATGAATGATGGTGTTATTGATGGACATATGAATGATGGTGTTATTGATGAACATATGAATGATGGTGTTATTGATGGACATATGAATGATGGTGTTATTGATGAACATATGAATGATGGTGTTATTGATGGACATATGAATGATGGTGTTATTGATGAACATATGAATGATGGTGTTATTGATGGACATATGAATGATGGTGTTATTGATGAACATATGAATGATGGTGTTATTGATGGACATATGAATGATGGTGTTATTGATGAACATATGAATGATGGTGTTATTGATGGACATATGAATGATGGTGTTATTGATGAACATATGAATGATGGTGTTATTGTTGGATGTATGAATGATGGTGTTATTGATGAACATATGAATGATGGTGGTATTGATGAACATATGAATGATGGTGTTATTAATGAACATATGAATGATGGTGTTATTGATGAACATATGAATGATGGTGTAATTGATGGACCTATGAATGATGGTGTCATTAATTAACATATGAATGATGGTGTTATTAATGAACATATGAATGATGGTGTTATTGATGGACATATGAATGATGGTGTTATTGATGAACGTATGAATGATGGTGTCATTGATAGTGTTATTGATGAACATATGAATGATGGTGTTATTGATGAACGTATGAATGATGGTTTTATTGATGGTGTTATTGATGGACGTATGAAAAAAACAAAATCAGGTTCAGTGTTTTATTGGAAACATTAAGCAGCTCAGAGACACAACACATCTTTAGTCCTCACAGTGACCCTGCGTCCTCTTCATGTCTGTCCTCAGGTTTCAGCTGAAAGGACAAACATCAGAGGGACAAAGTGTTGCTAAATCATCAGATCTCCTGTGTATGAAATCGTAGATGCTCCTGTGATTGGCTCATTGTGGCATGATGACCTACACCTGCAGACTCAGGTGTTCTTTGTCTCTTTGTTGTTGAATGCAGCAGAGACAGTGGAGGGAAACCCTGCCCAGCTGAGACAATGTGGATCTAAAGCAAGGTGTTCAGTTGTTTCACAGCAGCGCTGTGGGATCGGTGTCAGAGCGTCATCAGGTGACTCGCCACCTGAACTAACACTGGGGTTGATACAAAGACAGAGATGAGATAAAAATCATAGTGTAGGGTGTTATTACAGCTCAGACACTCCTGATCAACAGAACTATCATCATCATCTTCATCATCATGAAGCATCACACAGAGCCTACAGTCTAACATCAGTCCAGGTGGATTGTTTCTACAGCCAATCAGAAGGCAGAGATTCAACTTGATGCCCATTAAAGAGACGCTGGAATGTTTCAGGAGGCAAATTTATGAATCCAATGAATGACCCGCTCTACTCTGTCTGTGATTGGCTGGTTCTCATCAACATCTTTGAGTTAGGGTTGTTTAGGGTTAACGTTAGTATGTCAGCCAATCAGATGCAGAGTAAGGAGGAGTAATGCGTGAAGTTCCTTCACCATCGTAGGATTCACAGATTCACTAACAGGAGGCTGATGTGCTCTCCACACCTGTGTCACCTGTCCACATGAACAACAGTGACCGTCACTTTTAAACATGACACAGGTTAACCCTCCGAGACCCACACAGACCAGTTCTCGTCTTTTCTGGGTGGGGCACGGGACATTTTGGGTGAGACAGAAGGTGAACAGTGGACACCACAGAGAAGGTGTTTACATCATCTGAATGCTCCAACCTGAAGATTAATCAGTGACGCAGCTCAGACACCTCAGCTCTGACTCCACCCTCATCACATGTCCACGTTTGGTCATTAACATATGACGTCCAAGGTACCCTGGGTGTGTTGGTTGTTGACGTTCTGGGACGCTGTGTCAACTTCAGCCTGTTACAAGCATTGTCTGTTTTCAAAATACTCTTCTGTTTTCACAGGAAATGTACAGTTTGCATACAGTCTCTTTCAAAATAAAAGCACTACGTCAGTACAACACCACAGGTTCAGGAATATTTTCTTTATGTTTCTACTTTTAAACATCTTTTGGTTCAAAGTGTTTAACGTTGTGACATGTGACTGGCTCGTACACTTTGCCTTCTGGGTAAAAACATCACCACTGCAGGAGTGAGCTCAGTAGATGATGGAAGGCTAGCCAGCTGTTAGAGCTAAAGGTTTAAACCTTCATGGAAAGAAGTACAGACTTCAGTTGGACAGACGGGCCGTCCTGTGTCATCTTCATGTCTCGCCAGACAGAGTCAGCGCATGATGCTGCTGGACAGAGTCAGCGCGTGACACCAAATGCCCAACCCAAATGCTCACCACAGCTCATCACATATCGCCGCTCTGTCTCTGGACTTTGATGTCTACATATTACGCACTCGGTTCCTCCTGCTGCTGATGTTTTGGGACGCCACAATCAACACCAGGATGTCAACAAAAGGTTAGATTTACAGAAAACATCATGGTTTGCCTCAACGTTCACACAATAAGTGAACATCAGGCTGACCCGCCCACCTTCCCTCCCACCGGTCCTGTAGGGACTATCCAGCTCCGTAGATTACATCTTTACCGACAGCATTTCAACATGACGCCGCCCAGCTGCGTATCATACAGCTGCGACAGGTGCCGTACAGCTGGCTGACAGCGAATCATAACAATGACAAAGGTTTGGTGTCAGGTGTCTGATGACAGCATGACGGTATTTGACAACGTCAGAATGAGAACCGGCTGAAAGAGCTGGACAGTCCCTACGGGGCAGGGGAGGGGAGGGGAGGGGAGGTAGGTGGGTCCAACAAACCCTGGACTTTGATCCAGCAGCCTGCTGTTTACTCCCTGTGTGGATATTGAGTTAAACCATTAATGAGTTTCACTGACAAAGGTTTATTTTGAAAAGACTGTCTGAGGGGCTGTCCACACCAACGCAGGTATTTATATAACCGTGACTCTTTGCTCACAGTTTGGCCTTTCATCCACACGTAACCGCAGTTTTGGGCCCCTGTAACCGGAGTTATTTGTAACCGGAGTCCAGGGTGAACTTTTTGGAAAAGTCCGGTGTCAGCAGTCATGTGTGGACAGGATAACTGCAGTTATTTTGTCTCGTCTCCATTGTATGACGTCACAGTGTGTGACGTAAACAGACAACAGCTGTGTTATTACCCGATCCAGTGTGTGCGAGAGACGATTTGAGAATGAACCTAAACAAAATACTGCTGCTATTTAGCAGCATATCAGCACTTTGTGGCTGTATCATACAACTAACGCTACTCAACCACATCCAGCAACAGAGGCGCAAGAGTGTGCTATTACGGAGACTGCTCCTGCTGCATAATAGTACCCCAACACACCGACACCTCTTGTTGTTTTTCCGGTAATGATGTTTTACTGCCTTCTGATTGGCTACAATGGCCTTACAGTTGGGAGTTATATTGCCACCTACTGCTTTGGCATGTGTATTACATTGCTTGATAGTGGAATTTGCGGTGTCATGTGGACGGAGGTATTTTTATTACATCGCTTGTATGGATGCAGATTTTTTAAAAACTGGAGGCCAAAAAAGTTCGGTTTTAAAAATACCCATGCTCGTGTGGATTAGGCCTGAATCTAATGAACAGGAAACAACCCGCCGCCTTGGAACGTCAACAACAGACGGCAGAGGAAACCCAGCGTGTCAGATTTAAATGTGAAGGTCACTGATGACCAGTGACATGTGGTGAGTTTAAACTTTACCTTTCAGCGATGTTGTGGTGACAGCGAGGTTACGTTAAGGTACAAAAACGCATTGGAAAACGTTCGGAAAACGTTTACGGGTATAAAATTAGGGTTTTTGGGAAACGGCTGAAAATGGCTGGTGGTTGAAAAGTTGCAAGGAACACAAACACAGAACAGAGAGGCAGCCATCTTTCCTCGCTGTCAGGACCAGTAAGATGTAACGTATTGGTGGTTTGTAGAAACGTATGATGCCAACAGTTTCTTCAGGTGTGACAGATCGACGCAGTGACATCACAATAAACTGGGCTGTGGGGGCGGGGTTAATAATCTGGATTTATCTGGTTGGTTAACTTGGCGACGGCTAATTTGGGGGTAATTTTGGCAGTTGAATCTGATCGTCTGTCGGTTGATTGGTGTTAAATGATTTTAGGAAAAGCACATTATGGATCTACAATAATTTATGTCCTACAGGTCAGCGGTGAGCATTTACTCATCAGCAGCGGTGGGCATAGGGTCTGAGGACGCAGGCCAGGTGTAGGTGCCATTCACAGGTACGATGGGCGCTCTCAGTAAGGGCATGTCACACGTGTCAGGGTGGAGCAGGAAGCCGGAGAAGGTGCTGCTGGCTTCATTACTGACGTACATGCCGTTAGTGACGGCGTCCTTCACCTGGACCCACACGATGTCCCCGCGGGCCAGGTGGAGGACGACGGACTGCGAGGTTGTCCCAAATGGTTTGACGCATGTGTTTATGACGACTGCCTGGAAGTTATGGAACAGGCCAACTTTGAGGACTCGCTGGTAGACGGAGACGTGGAAGCTGAAGACATAGGTGCCGTTGACGGGGGCGGTGTAGATGCCAGAGGCGGGGTCATAGCTCCCCTGGATGTTGTAATGAACGTGGGCGAAGATGACAGGGGCGAGGGGTGGGGGGAAACTGGTCGTCAGCCCTGCAGCGAAGGCTGACTGGACGCCGGGCATGCAGGGACCGGGACGACCCATCATCCCCATGGGCCCCATGTCTCCCTTTATACCCTGTGTCCCTATCGGCCCTGTGGGCCCCATCTGTCCCTGGTCCCCTTTGTTTCCCTTGTCCCCCCTCTGTCCTGGGGCCCCATCCTCTCCGTCTGTACAGTTACAGTCCCCCATAGGTCCTGGTTCTCCCTTCAACCCCTCAGATCCAGGAACACCAGGGTGACCCATCTCACCCATGTCTCCCTTTAGTCCTTTAGGTCCCAGCAGTCCTGGTTCACCATGTGGACCTCTGACCCCCACAGGGCCAGGAACACCGGGAGGTCCTGGGGGACCCTCAATTGCCTCACAGTCACCGGGACAGATGCCATTGTCTCCTTTGGGACCCTGATCCCCCATACGTCCCTCAAGACCTGGCTCCCCCTTCTCCCCTGAGGGGCGACAGAGACCAGATGAGACACAGGAAGTGACACGTGTCAGACAACAATGAGGATGAAGCGCTGGTCTCACCTTTAAAGCCTCGCTCTCCTTTGGATCCCATAAAGCCCTGCAGTCCTCGGTCCCCCTTCAGTCCCTCATCTCCTTTCTGTCCTAAGAGTTCAACAGAGACAGAGGAGTGTCAGAGGACGGACAGGTAGAGACACCTCCGAGACATTAGCGCAAAGCATGATCGGAAAGTGTTTACCTTTGACTCCTGGTCTGCCCACGAAACCTGGAGGACCTCTGAACCCAGTCAACCCTCGTGGTCCAGGACTGCCGGGAGGACCTGAAGGGACAGAGGACAGAGGGACAGGGGACAGGAGGACAGAGAGACAGAGGGACAGAGAGACAGAGGGACAAAGGACAGAGGACAGAGACTTGTTAGTAGACTCACATCATCTAACTGATCCTGGATCGACTCGGCCCCCTCAGACTGATCCAGGTCATTTATGAGGCAACAGATTGCTCAGAGTAATGAAATTACTCCCAGTAATCAGATCGTCTGTGGACTGAAATATTTAAAACTCTGTTTTTTCTGATGAGATCAAAATAAAGTCTGAAAGCAGCATGAGAAAAGTGATGATGCTCCAGGTTACAAAGGGTTAAATTTATTTATTAAATATATTTTCATGTTGTAGATTTGTGTATTTATATAAATGTTCCCTCAGTATTTATGATTCATTAAATAAAAGCTGACATTATGTGAGTGAGTGAGTGAGTGTAATGCATACGGTGTTGTGTATCCTTAACTATTTATGGCAAAGTAGGGCCCCTGGAGCTTATCCCGCTTAGGGCCCCCAGATGTCCAGGGCTGGCCCTGAGCTGACGTGTCACTGTGACCTCACCTGGTGGTCCACGGTCTCCTCTGTCCCCTTTGGGCCCCTGGCTGCTCTTACAGTGTGTACAGAGACAGTACCAGGGGATGTGGTCTGCGGGGACGGGCTCCGGGCCCTGCAGCAGCATCTGACAGTAAGCCTCCACTGCGCCGTCCGGGGTCCCCGTCATGTTGTCTCCGTCGGGATAATGTTCGGGGCCGTCCATGGGCGGGTAAGGAGGCATCGGAGGAAGGAAGCGAGGAGACTCCCCGTCGCCTGAGTAGAAGGGCTCAGGCATTGCCATGACGACAGGGACCGCCAGCAACAGGAAGTGAAGAGGAAACTTCAACATTATCTGCAGAGAGGTTATATTACTGATTATTGATCATTATTGATCAGACAGCGGTCTGTGCTCACAGCTCATCATCATCATCATCATCATCACCATCTTTATCACCATCATCAGAGACGGGACAGACAGAGAAGAGACAGACAGAGAAGAGACAGACAGAAGAGAGACAGACAGAGAAGAGACAGACAGGCTGTTATGTATTATTATGTTGTCCTGTTCTGTATATATTGTAAACACTGTATCTTACTTTTAATGCTTCTGTTTTAGAGTTATGGTTTCATAACATCTTACCGGAGGATGACAGTTGTGAATTAGCCGGCTGGCTAAAACTGGTACATTTACAGTAACGTTGATTAATGTGTACTGTCCTTTTTATAAATAGAATAAACTGAAACTGAAACAGAGACGGGACAGACAGAGACTAGACAGATGGAGAGGGGACAGATTGATACTGGACAGCAGCTACACTAAACTCATTTACTGTTATCTTACATTTATATTTAAAAACTTTCAAAGACTTTTCCAGGTTCTCCAGGACCACGGGAACCAGGATGAGTGGTGTTGGATTATATTGCTTATTTGTAACAACTCATTTGGCCGATGACCTATGACTGATGACCGATGACCCTAGACTGATGACTGATGACCGATGACCTATGACTGATGACTGATGATCGATGACCTATGACTGATGACTGATGATCGATGACCGATGACCTATGACTGATGACTGATGACCGATGACCGATGACCTATGACTGATGACTGATGACCGATGACCGATGACCTATGACTGATGACTGATGACTTATGACTGATGACTGATGACTGATGACCTATGACCAATGACCTACGACTGATGACCGATGATGACCTATGACTGATGACCTACGACTGATGACCGATGACCTATGACGGATGACCTACGACTGATGAATGATGATCAATGACTGATGACCGATGACTGATGACCTATGACTGATGATTGATGACCTACGACTGATGACTGATGACCGATGATCAATGACTGATGACCAATGACCTATGACGATGACCTATGACTGATGATCGATGACTGATGACTGATGACCGATGACCGATGACCGATGACCTTTGACCGATGATCGATGACCTATGACCGATGATCAATGATCGATGACCAATGACCTATGATGATGACCTATGACTGATGATCGATGACAATGACCTATGACCGATGATCGATGACCTACGGCTGATGACTGATGACGATGACCTATGACTGATAACCTATGACTGATGACGGATGACCTACAACTGATGACTGATGACCAATGACCTATGACTGATGACCTATGACCGATGACCGATGACCTACGGCTGATGGCTGATGACTGATGACGATGACCTATGCCTGATGACCTATGACTGATGACCGATGACCTATGACCTATGACCGATGACCTACGGCTGATGACTGATGACCTATGACTGATGACCGATGACCTACGGCTGATGACTGATGACCTATGACTGATGATCGATGACCTACGACTGATGACTGATGACGATGACCTATGACCGATGACCTACGGCTGATGGCTGATGACTGATGATGATGACCTATGCCTGATGACCTATGACTGATGACCGATGACCTACGGCTGATGACTGATGACGATGACCTATGACTGATGGCCGATGACCTACGGCTGATGACCGATGACCTATGACTGATGATCGATGACCTACGACTGATGACGATGACCTATGACTGATGACCTATGAGTAATGACTGATGACGATGACCTATGACTGATGACCGATGACTGATGACGATGACCCATGACTGATGACCTATGACTGATGACTGATGACCGATGACTGATGACCTATGACAGATGACCGATGACCTACGACTGATGACTGATGACGATGACCTATGACTGATGACTGATGACCGATGACCTATGACTGATGACTGATGTCCTACGACTGATGACTGATGACCGATGACCTACGACTGATGACTGATGACTGATGACCTATGACTGATGACTGATGTCCTACGACTGATGACTGATGACCGATGACCTACGACTGATGACTGATGACTGATGACGATGACCTATGACTGATGACTGATGTCCTACGACTGATGACTGATGACTGATGACCGATGACCGATGACCTACGACTGATGACTGATGACCAATGACCGATGACCTATGACTGATGACTGATGACTGATGACCGATGACCTACGACTGATGACTGATGACCGATGACCGATGACTGATGACCTACGACTGATGACCTATGACCTACTGCTAATGACTGATGATGATGACCTATGACTGATGACTGATGTCCTACGACTGATGACCGATGACCTATGACCTATGACCGATGACCAATGACTGATGACCGATGACCTACGACTGGTGACTGATGACGATGACCTATGACTGATGACCGATGACCTATGACTGATGACCGATGACCTACGACTGATGACTGATGACCGATGACCGATGACCGATGACCTACGACTGATGACTGATGACCAATGACCGATGACTGATGACTGATGACTGATGACTGATGACCGATGACCTACGACTGATGACTGATGACCGATGACCGATGACTGATGACCTACGACTGATGACCTATGACCTACTGCTAATGACTGATGATGATGACCTATGACTGATGACTGATGTCCTACGACTGATGACCGATGACCTATGACCTATGACCGATGACCAATGACTGATGACCGATGACCTACGACTGGTGACTGATGACGATGACCTATGACTGATGACCGATGACCTATGACTGATGACCGATGACCTACGACTGATGACTGATGACCGATGACCTATGACTGATGACCTACGACTGATGACTGATGACGGTGACCTATGACAGATGACCTATGACCTACTGCTAATGACTGATGACGCTGACCTATGACTGATGACCTATGACTGATGACCGATGACCTATGACTGATGACTGATGACCTACAACTGATGACCGATGACCTACGACTGATGACCGATGACCTATGACTGATGACCTACGACTGATGACTGATGACTGATGATGGTGACCTATGACTGATGACCTATGACCTACGGCTGATGACTGATGACGATGACCTATGACTGATGACCGACGACCGATGACCTATGACTGATGACCGACGACCTATGACCGATGATCGATGACCAATGACCTATGACGATGACCGAGGACTTATGACCGATGATCGATGACCAATGACCAATGACCTATGATGATGACCTATGACTGATGATCGATGACCAATGACCTATGGCGATGACCTATGACTGATGACCAACGACCTATGACTGACGACCTGTGACCAATGACCTATGACCAATGACCTATGACTGATGACCAATGATCTATGATGATGACCGATGATCAATGACAGATGACCAATTAACGATGATCGAATTAAACCCCATTGAAAATCATTTTAAATCATCTCTTTCTTTCTGCTCCTCCTGTTCTGAACTTCTGCTGTTTTTAAAGGTTACTAATTTGAATTATAAATTATGTAGTGATTAATTTTTACCTTTTATATCTTTTGTTTCGTCTTGTCTGTGTCCTTTATTATATTTAATTACTGTGTGACTCACGTTGACTCGTCCTGTTGTATGAAACGTTAAACAGATAAATCTGTGCTGTCTGATGTTACAGCTGATTTATCTCCATGTGTCTGTGTCAGACTGTTGCTTCATCGTCTGAGTTATAAAGATCGTTCCCTTTAATGTGACAAAATAAGAACTGACACAGCCTCCTGTAGATTCACTCTGTGCTGCTTTGATATATCTATAAAACAGTTTTTGAAGTCCTGACACAGACCTGCAGGGTCCACACACGTCGGCTGTTTAATCATTTCACTGCTACAGTAAAGGACTTTAATTCTTCCCTCCTGGTTCTCTGTATTTTTGGATCGTCTTCCTGTTGTTCCCTGTTGTTCCCTGAACAACTGACACACAGTTTTAATCTACGTTTGATTAAACAGAGCAGTCATCTCTCTGTAAATATAAATATCATCATTTTTCTTATTTCAAAGTCGATACAGACAATGTGCTGATGTTCTCGTGTGTCCATCTCTGAGGTATCTGAGGACAGAAGAACTTTAAAAACATGGCTCATTTATAAATGATAATAATAGAAGGATCCCTGCAGCTGTTAACGGAGCTCTGAAGTGATTATTGATCTGTTTATTAATAATGTTTGTTCATTTATTGACCTCTGATCACTTTAATCAAAAGTCTCAGAGCAAAGTAACTTCAGTATCAGTCAGAGGATTATATCCATAATTATACTATATCATATATTATATCCATAATCACTGGGGTCACTTATTTATTAAACATCATTATTATTAGTAGTAGTATTAATAAAAATAATTGTTGTTGTTATTATTAATTGTTATTATTGTTAATAACAACAACATTTATTATTATTAATACTAATAATAATCAGAATAATTCATTCATTCTTCTAACCGCTTCATCCTCTTGAGGGTCGTGGGGGGGCTGGAGCCTATCCCAGCTGACACTGGGTGAGAGGCAGGGTTCACCCTGGACAGGTCACCAGACTATCACAGGACTGACACACAGAGACAGACAACCATTCACACTCACATTCACACCTACGGACAATTTAGAGTCACCAATTAACCTGCATGTCTTTGGACTGTGGGAGGAAGCTGGAGTGCCTGGAGGAAACCCACGCTGACACAGGGAGAACATGCAAACTCCGCACAGAAGGGCTCCCACACCCGGGATCGAACCGGGAACCCTCTTGCTGTGAGGCAACAGTGCTAACCACCACACCACCGTGCCGCCCTGATCAGAATAATAATTATTATTATTATTATTTAAATAATAATCATAATAATAATAACTGTTGTTACTATCAATAATGAGAGAATTTTGCTCATATGAATAATTTTCTGTATCTTTGATTGACTTAATGCTGTTTGTCTTTTTTAATATTCTTTTTCCTTTATTTGAATATTATTAAACATATAAAATACTAATAATATAAACTGTGTAATAATAATATGATATATTTTGGCTCTGAGCAGGATCAGCTGTTATAGATAATTAATACGTGTCATATTTAAAAGATTATTTTTGTGGGCCTTTTTTTGCCTTTAATGAAATGGGGAGACAGAGAGAGAGTGGGGACTGACATGCAGCAAAGGGCCATGAGCTGGATTCGAACCCGTGGCCGCTGCAACGAGGCAATGCCTCTGTACATGGGGCACCGGCACTATCCACTACGCTACCGACGCCCCATGTGTCATATTTCTTTTTCTTTTTACATATTATAATTTTGTAAATCAAAATGATTATTAATAATTAAAGTTTTTAAAATGTCTTTGTATTTTCTAGTAAATAAATATTAAATATGATGTGTGTGTGTGTCTGACTCACCGTCTCTGAAGTGTCTCTGAAGCGTCTCTGAAGTGTCTCTGAAGTGTCTCTGAAGTGTCTGAAGTCACCTGCAGCTGATCTCACCTGTCTCACTCACAGCTGCTAATAAAACACCTGGACTCCGCCTACTCACTGAAAGTCAGCACAGGTAAGTGTGTGTGTGTGTGTGTGTGTGTCTTCAGGGACGCAGCAGACTGAAGAGCAGGTTTTTATTTGGGACATTTTTTGTCTGCAATCAGGAAGATTTTTGGGCCTCCAGGAAGTTACTGAGTGTGTGTGTGTGTGTGTGTGTGTGTGTGTGTGTGTGTGTGGGTGTGCGTGTGTGTGTGTGTGTGGGTGTGTGTGTGTGTGTGTGTATGTGTCTGTGTGCATGTGTGTGTGTGTGTGTGTGCTTGTGTGTGTCTGTGTGTGTGTGTGTATGTGTGTATGTCTTTGTGATGTTTTTGTATTTGCTGTTAAATGTGTGACCTCGTTATCATAATACACACAGGTGTCACATCGCAGTGTGAAAACACACACACATTCATCATGCATCATCATCAGATATCACAACACAACACTTCCTGTATGAGGATCAAATACAGACCCTATCCACCTTATTCCCCCATGATGCCTTGCATGGATTATTGGTGCAAATTCCAGCATTGAACTGAAACTGGCAATTTCCAATGGTAACAGTGTGTTTACAGTCTGTTAATAGTCTGTTTACAGTTTGTTTACACTCTGTTTACAGTTTGTTTACAGTCTGTTTATAGTCTGTTTACAGTTTGTTTATAGTCTGTTTGTAGTTTGTTCACAGTTTACAGTCTGTTTACAGTCTGTTTATAGTCTGTTTACAGTCTGTTTACAGTCTGTTTACAGTCTGTTTATAGTCTGTTTACAGTCTGTTTACAGTCTGTTTATAGTCTGTTTACAGTCTGTTTACAGTTTGTTTACAGTCTGTTTATAGTCTGTTTACAGTCTGTTTATAGTTTGTTTACAGTCTGTTTACAGTCTGTTTATAGTCTGTTTATAGTCTGTTTACAGTTTGTTTACAGTCTGTTTATAGTCTGTTTACAGTCTGTTTATAGTCTGTTTATAGTCTGTTTACAGTTTGTTTACAGTCTGTTTATAGTCTGTTTACAGTCTGTTTATAGTTTGTTTACAGTCTGTTTACAGTCTGTTTATAGTCTGTTTATAGTCTGTTTACAGTTTGTTTACAGTCTGTTTATAGTCTGTTTACAGTCTGTTTATAGTCTGTTTATAGTCTGTTTACAGTTTGTTTACAGTCTGTTTATAGTCTGTTTATAGTCTGTTTATAGTTTGTTTACAGTCTGTTTACAGTCTGTTTACAGTCTGTTTATAGTCTGTTTACAGTCTGTTTACAGTCTGTTTATAGTCTGTTTATAGTCTGTTTACAGTTTGTTTACAGTCTGTTTATAGTCTGTTTACAGTCTGTTTATAGTTTGTTTACAGTCTGTTTACAGTCTGTTTACAGTCTGTTTATAGTCTGTTTACAGTCTGTTTACAGTCTGTTTATAGTCTGTTTATAGTCTGTTTACAGTTTGTTTACAGTCTGTTTATAGTCTGTTTACAGTCTGTTTATAGTTTGTTTACAGTCTGTTTACAGTCTGTTTACACTCTGTTTACAGTCTGTTTACAGTTTGTTTACAGTCTGTTTATAGTCTGTTTACAGTCTGTTTATAGTCTGTTTACAGTTTGTTTATAGTCTGTTTACAGTTTGTTTACAGTCTGTTTACAGTCTGTTTATTGTTTGTTTACAGACTGTTTACAGTCTGTTTATAGTCTGTTTATAGTCTTTTTACAGTTTGTTTACACTCTGTTTACAGTTTGTTTACAGTCTGTTTATAGTCTGTTTACAGTTTGTTTATAGTCTGTTTGTAGTTTGTTCACAGTTTACAGTCTGTTTACAGTCTGTTTACAGTCTGTTTATAGTCTGTTTACAGTCTGTTTACAGTCTGTTTATAGTTTGTTTATAGTCTGTTTACAGTCTGTTTATAGTTTGTTTACAGTCTGTTTATAGTCTGTTTACAGTCTGTTTATAGTTTGTTTACAGTCTGTTTACAGTCTGTTTATAGTCTGTTTACAGTTTGTTTATAGTCTGTTTATAGTTTGTTTACAGTCTGTTTATAGTTTGTTTATAGTTTGTTTACACCACCTGTTGTAGCTCAAACAGGATCACGTGATCAAAACCTCATCATCTCTGACAGCCATGTAGTAGTTAGCATGCTAACTGTTAGCTCGCCCTGCTCCGTTAAAATATTGTTAACGTTAACATGTCCCGAGCAGCTTAAGGAAACATCTGCTCCTCCTAAAGATGATTTATGATTTCTGACACTAACACATAACTCAGTATCAACTGTAGCTCCATGTAAAGTGAATAAATGTGATGTTTCCAGCTAATCCTCCGCTCCTCTGTGTTAACCACGCAGTTTGCACATTTTTTAACGTCTGATTTATTAAAAACTGTTCTGAGTGAAACATGAAGCTGAATTCAGCAGCAGACTTTATGTGTTTATATGATATAAAGGCAGTACGGTAAATCAGTGACACGTTCTCAGCCCTGATGACTAAATACATATTTCACAGTTTATTTTCCAATGTAGGTTGAGACTGAAGTCAGACGGGGAAAGACAGGGATATCATGTGCTAACGCTGAGTGACGCACCTGTCAGTCTACGTGTCATTCTCTGCTGATAACTCTGATTTAAACTCTCGTGGTTTTATTTCTCATATCAATGGTAACCATGGCAATAGGAACAATCCCTTTTTGTCCTGGTCACATGTTCAACATGTAGTGGTTTATCATACATAATATTACTTTTATTCACATTACACTACAACAACTACACAACACACACACACACATTGGGACACTCATTGGATATTGTTTAAGGATTTGGCAGACAGTCAGCATTAAGACAGTGTGTGATGCTTGATTCATCCACCAGATGTTACATTTTTAGGAAACAATGTCCCAGCTGAAGATAGGAGGAATTGGCTCATAAGAAACACAGGCGAGGACTGGTCTAGTCTTTTGTTCATCAGATCATCTAACTCTGCTCTGTTCCCTGAATCTGCAGGTAATATGTACTTTGTTCCAACTATTGTAATATCATTGAATACATAATAAATATACTATTGAACTGCACTGATTGGTCTGTCATCATTATTTATCACCACAAACACACAGTTGCTGAAGACAAACATGTAGCTCAGACTGGTTGGTAGTCGTCACAGACACGGACAGTACAACAGGTACCAGAGCTCCACAGAGACATTTTAGAAAATGCTGAGTTAACATTAGTTAAATATTTGTTAAATATAAACTGAAGGAAAATGACTTTGGAAAAGAACCAGCGTTGGCGGTTTGCCACCAAGAGTAGCCACTGGGACTAAGCACAGACAGTCTATGGGACTAACTAGCTCACTGCTACTTCCTCTGTCTCACATGAAGTTGCACCCAGAATCATTTCTACAGTCGTGGATAAAAGTCTGAGAAACCAGGATCATCACATCCTGGTTTATTAATATCCAAACTGATAAACTTTATTGTTCTTTATGAATGAACACTCAGGTTGTAATAAAGTAGTGAGAAACACCTGTGTGTGGCCTTCCACAGGTAAACAGCTGAAGAGGTAACAGATTAAATAGTCACAGTGGTGCTCCATGGTCACAAAATGTGACTCAGTAGTCACAGTCTGGAGCTCTGCAGGTACAATAAACACTCCATAAACTCACACTGCTGATAAATCAACAGGAAAAAGGTCCAATACTAACAAGCTGAAAGGGGGCATATCTCCACCTATCGTAGAGGAGTCGCACATACTTGGCTCAATAAATGGATTCCCCTCCGGTGCTTGTGTACTGGGACAAGGACAGTAGGCCAGTTAAACGTCCTCGTCCAGCTGGAACATGGAGACAGACTGAGTGACAGAGCAGCAGAACTCTCAGATTCTTATTCTGTCCATTAAAATCTTTATGTATTGTTAGTGATGAGACGCAGCAGAGGACAGAAGACAGAGGACAAAGGACAGAGGACGGAGGACAGAAGACAGAGGACAGAGGACAGGGGACAGGAGTTGATCCAGCTCAGACCTTCTGAAGCTTAGTCATGTGAAAGTGGTTTGGTTGAGCTGGTCTGGTTCCCACTGAGAGCTCTTTGATGTGTAAGGTGACCTGTTTAGGACTTGAGAGGCCGGGCTGATAATGCACAGGTGTAACTGTGATACCTCTGTGTGTGAAGTAACACCTGGACTGATTGAAGCCTGTCACCAGATACTGCTCACACCTGCACTCTATAGGTGTCACGTCATCACCACACAGGCCTGGGAACCAGGGTGGACGACTCATGTAGGTCAGCTGTGGGCTCTGTGGTCATGTAGGGCACCTGATCCAGGTGACACACCCACGCCATCACTGCCATGTTCACTTCCTGTTAATCACTTCCTATCTGGTTCAGGCACAGAGCCAAGCTGTTCCCACAATCCCTGACAAGCAGGAAGTGAGACTGTTCCCAATGGACCAGCAGTTGTTATTTAGGTCCATTCGATGACGAGCCGCCTGTTAATGACGCTGTGGGCTAATGGGCATGTAGCTACTTCCATGTTTCAGATGATACGTCATGTTTGTAGTCGACCAATGAAGATGAGTTTACATATTACCTTGGGTTCGTCCTTCACCTTCTCAAAATGATCCCACACTTTGGATTTCCTGCCCGACATGTTATTAATTAGCCTGTGGAATAACCGCAGGTACCAGCCCTGGAGATTAACCTGACTCCTGTCTGACTGCTGAGCGTGGACACTTCCTGTGTCTGTCCTTTCAAAGTAAAGTCACACATGGTCCACTCATATAGGTTTGGACTTATTTTGACAAGGTGCAGCTTGTATTCTCTGCGACTAAGTGACCTGGACCCTGACCTGATGACTGAGGACACATCTGGACCCTGACCCGATGACCGAGGACACATCTGGACCCTGACCCGATGACCGAGGACACATCTGGACCCAGACCTGATGACCGAGGACACATCTGGACCCAG